TCTGGAATCCTACGCACATTCCGCGTCGATTCCTTCCGGAAAGTGCAGAAATTGCATTTTCACCCAGAAAGCCGATGGGCACAAATGTTTCGCGGCGCACTAACAAAAACAAAAATGTGGTTTGCAACATTTTTCTTCTTTTAACGCTCTCTGTGAAACAGTGCAGGAATCCGAGAGATCCTCTGCTGGGATTTACGCGAGATGAAAAAGACGAGAGAAAGGAAGAAATGCGTATTTTTCCTCCGAAAGAGGAGTCTTAATGTTGCAAATATATGTACATGTATGCACATACATGTAACCTTTAATGCAACTTTGTGTTAAACCATAATTCGTAAAACTTTACGAAAGAAATGCATTCTATAGCTGTTATTACGATGACAGAATAAGCGTACATCAATTGTTTTAAAAGTACATAATATATGACATTTACGAATAAAATAACTTATGTATCACCATAATAAGTGCTACAATGTTTGCAAAAATCCCATATAAATATACATAAAAGTATCATAAAATCATGTATCGTAAAACAAGTGGTTATAAAGAATCAGAGATAATGCAAAATGTTCATCGTATAAAATGAGCACTCGTCTTTATAAAATTGTCCCTTAAATTTATCCGCAGTGTTATTTCTCATCTTGATTTCAATATGATTTCTTCAACGTCAGAAGTAAATATCAATGTATCATCATTAGGCGACATTCAAAGGTGAGATAAAATTACGACTCACTTCATGATTGAAACTTTATTGTAACTATGACAAATTGCGGGAAAGTTTCTTTATAGCGATAAATGAAGCTTTAAACAGCTTTATTCTGTCTTCTCTCTCTCTCTCTCTCTCTCTCTCTCTCTCTCTCACTCTCATCTCTCTCTATATTCTAATAATATTCAGATATAGGTAGATATCTCATATCTGCAGGCATTGCCAGCAGCTAATTCATCATTGCCAGGTAATCTGTTGATCCAAGTTCGTAATCAATATGTGTACAGAGTTTGGTAGGACTTATCATCTTACTACATCGATATATATATATATATATAGCGTTTCATGTAATATACATCAATATCCTGTATAATAACATTTCTGTATTATTGCTAAATTAAAGAGATATTCATAGAGAAACATGGATAATCACAGACGTTCGCAGGATTTTTTATAGAAAGGAGGAAGCAAGATTAAATTTTTTTTGTTTCTTATTTTTTGTTCTTAATGTTGTATAATTTAATCTTTTGTTATATATTTTCAATTTTTTTCATATTAATAAATATGCAAATAAATTCCAGTGTTTATTCAAAAGAAGAGCAAATGCTTAATTTTTTTATCGATTCCAAAGAGAGGGCAATTGTTCTCTGTGGGTGCTCATGTGGATAATATTACTATTTGCCAAATCTGCTCAATATCACGCCAACATCGATAGAAAGGTAGAAAAAAAGGAGTTTTTCAGCGCAAATAATTGTTCGGCACCAGTGAAAAGGTCATCAAACAACATTTTCTAGCTGTCAAGGGTCATCAAACAACCGATCGTCGCTGAAAACTAAACAATATCGAAAAGCCGGACGAGCTAGATAGCTATTAGTTGACCGTAAGGTCAATCCTTGCTGAGATTGAATGCTGATTGACTTCATTTCGAGAGATGCTGCGTTTATCTCTTCCCTATTTGCATTCGTCGCTAATGATCTCTCTTGATAAAGCGCGATATTACAAATGCAGATCTCTTAAATTTCACGATTCAACGTGAATAAATAATTGCCATTTCTTTCAATTATGAAACTTTTTCGCATGTTATATAGAAATTACTATAGATAAATTACATTTCGTTTAATCGATTTAACGTAAAATTATTTCAAATGAGTTTATTATTCATTGAGAAATGTAATAAGATAAAGAGATTATAATATGATTAATGGTAATCTTGATAAGAGAACATGTTCTGTAAAATTTATCCAAGAGACACTACTATACATAACTTGTTGTCAAGTAAGATCTCATTTATCATGCAACTTTTCTTTAGCTTCAATAAGTCACGTTATCCGTATTGCATTTCTGATAAATGCTAAACGATCAATCGAAGAAGAATAGAAATTCTTTGATCTACAGTAACGACATTTATCTCGTGGCTCGTAAATTTAGAATAGCAAAGAGGGTTTTACACGCAGAAAAGACCTCCGATATTCCACTTTTATTTCTGGAAGCTCTGTTTCATCGTTGCTATGCTTTCGTTTTTTTATCTCTTTTTATTTTTATGATCAATTCGAACAATAAGCCGTATTCAAGAGCGCGCATAATTCTTGATAAATCGATAAAATACGAATGCGCTCCTAGTTGTGGGTGAATTTGAATAAACACGAACAAAAGCATTTTCTCCGTTTGGGATAAACGAGCCGTATTTGTCCCTCGATGATTTCAAATGACAAAACACATGACGTGTCTCTGATCTTTTTTTATTGTAGTAGAATTATACAGAGTCCCAGCAGACGATTTTTCCTCAACGAAAATGTCGAGACATCAATAATTTTCGAGTTATAAGCGATTGAAAATAAGGGATTTTTCGCAAATTAAGCCATGTGGAAATAAAATATTAACAAAATTACATTTATTAATTTCATGTAGAGTTTACTTTAACAGAATTTTAATTTAAGACTTAATTACGAAGATACATGATGGCAAAAATGAGAAACATGCAAAAAATGATCCCTCGACATTTTCTGAGGAAAAATCGTCTCCAAATGATCTCAGGAATCTGCCATTAACAGGTATACTATTAATTTTGAGACACCCTGTATACTACAGGTCATTGACGAGAGAGAGAGAGAGAGAGACAGAGAGAGAGAAATTAGCGTTATTGTCCTGACTAGAAAATGAAGCTCGTTATATAACTCATCGAGTATGTCTATAAATAATGGTCCCACATTATATTATCGCAGATGAACTTTCTCCGCAAATTTCCATAACATTTCTCGAATTCCTGAAATTATAAAACAATGCAAAATCTTTAGAACAGATTCAATGCTACATGTATCCGTCAAGTCGAGGTAAAATCCAGGAGAAAACAGAAAGCACCACTCAGGGAAGAATTTACGTAAAACTATCCCGTTACCGATAACCGAGATAATCAATATTTTACGACGTAGCATATATTTGCGAAACCACGATATATAAAACGCAAATAATAATAAACCACGTAGATCTCTGTAATATATCGAAGGAATACGGAACCGCATCCTGACCTCAATTCTCAAAAAAAAGCCAAGGAGTTAGAAATCCGCAACATCAATCATTGTCTGCACGCTATAGCTTGTCAATACTACCCGGTTTACAGCTCGATTTATTTCGACCTACTCTCCGAAGTCTCATCGATCTAATATTATATACAAATGTAAATCTGCCGAGCTTAAAACATTTATGATTGTTGGACACAGTAAAACGCAGATTGAATAAATCTTTACGTTGCGCAATGTTAACGTGTTCATATCGAAAAATATCTCGCGTATAACGCTGACACGAAAAGCTAATATTAGGAATTCTTCGAACGGTAAATAGGACTTAAAACAGCCAGAGTATATCTCGAGATATACGTTTCTGAAGAAAGGATACACCTTTTATGTATGTCACATTTCGGGGTAAAAGGTGAAAAGGTAAAAGCGATCTTTTCTGTTATATAAGAATATACAACTTATATACTCTATACTTTTCGTATAATGTTTTCTCTAAAACATAAAAAACCATCTTTTGCTTATAAATAATAAAATTATTCATCTCATTTTTCAAATTACTTTCACATTTCCATGTGACATTTTCATCATAATTCATAACGAAAAGATGACATCGTGCGAAGCAATTTTGCTAGTAACATATCGAACTCTCTGTACATTAATTTTATGAGTGATCAATATAGAATAAGTACTGCCTACACGTTTAATTTTCAACTAAATGAAAATTTTGTCTAATTTTAGTCCAGTTATGTACGTGTTTTAATGTAAAGGCAGCTTTGAGCATCAGAGCTTGTTACGTGTTACCTAACCAATCCACTTTGATCCGGTGAGAGATCGATGAATCGCAACGGATCCTGTAATGGAATTTAGCCCTTCCGGCGCAGAAACGAGTTTATAACGGATTCGACCTTATTGCGAAAAATTTACTCAGCTTAATATTAAGAAAATGCATATTACATAAATATATAGCTGTAATAAACTGTATACGCTCTCTCTTCCGTTAAAATTCTCTCGTACAAACAAATTATATGACATTCGCGCTCCAGCTCGATTAAATTAAAGCGACTTATAGTTAGTCGTAAAAAAATTATATTATATTTTCTGACAATGTGTTGTAGCTCCAACACATTATTCTGACTCCGAATTGAATTTAAATAACAATTAAATGTCGCATTATTCGTTCTTCCGCGTGAATTATGTATAAATTGCAACCTGACTGATTCCTTTAACCCGAAGAATCGTCTCTAATCGAATTAGGTGTGTGCGGCGAAGCGCATTAACGCGGACAAATAGATGGATTACCGGAACGACGTATAGTAGTGGCAGCGAGAAGCTAACAAGACCAAATAATTCCAAATTTATTGGGAAGTGCTCAGTGATTGAGATACGGGAGCACGAATGATCGATCCGTGCATTTATCTGTGCATGATATTCGGCTGCATTGTATCGTGATAGATCGTATATTCTTGCATCGCCGATGCAACGGCGGTAAATAAAGTCCCAAGAGAAATTTGGCTTATTTGTCATTGTAATTTTGCGAAAAAAAAAATTCTTACATGTTTGATAAACTTTCTTTCTACTATTTACGATTTAAAATAATGATTAAAAATTATTTTTTTAATAATGATTTTTAAATAATCATTAAAAATTATTTTTTAATAATGATTTTAAAATGATTAATTACTATAGAAATTATTTTTTAATAATGATTTTAAAATAATTCTTATTAAAGCTAGTAATTAAATCGCGCTCACATGAATTAAAGAAATGATTAATTATGTTTGCAGGTGTTGGGAGGATTAGGACGCAGGATGTCGAGCGGCGATAAGGCTTCACCAGGCCTAACCATCGATCGCGCCGCTTTTTTGCTTCTGAGAGTGAAGAAAGCTTTCAAAAAGAAAAAGCAGCAGCGAAAGGAAAAGAGGTAAGTTTTAGTTGGCCCGTTAATTTAGCCGGTCGATCAATGGCTTTTGCGATAAACGAAGGAAGAAGAGAGAAAAGCGGAAAAATCCCTGGCGATAGAGAGCAAGGAAAATTGCTTCCAAACCGTCTTCTTTTTTTTTCAAGCTATAGATACTCAAAGCCACTTCACCGAACAAGCCGATTTGACGTATAACATGAAGAATTTGTGGACATAAAATTAATACTTATCTTTACGCTCTTGATCTTCTTACTCTCTTCTGTCTTTTATCTTTTAATTAATTTTGATATATCGTCTTTACACACCTTAATCCTAGCTATAGCGATATGATGCATCTTTAATGCAAAATTGCATTATGCATGATCTGTTGACCCCCCGAAGCATCAACTATGAGTATATAGAATTTACAGATTAAGCTATTTATATCTAAGAGAGAAGAGGATGACGCTAGTGATATATCAATTAATTTATAGCGAAAAGAATTTTTATAAAAACAAATATCCTTCTTCCGGATGATATATTGTATTATTAAGAAAAGACTTTTAGAGGGGAAAAAGGTGTTTTCGAAAAAAATATCGCTATAAAATAACAGCATGATTTCTGAAGGCTCCGTAATAAATAGTGACACTCTTTGAATGGCTTTCCTACATCACTTAAACTTGATTTTATACCCTCTTGGTATAGAAGATCTTGGTAAAGAATCTTTCCCGCCGTTGAACGCGGGATTCAATCGACAACAGATTGGCCCAGCTCCAACTTATCGAAGAGCTTATAGCGCTCCGAAGTCTCCATTATCCTCCGTAAATCTTAGCACGAGCGTTGCACATTGCTCAGACATTTAATCAACGAAATTAACGAACAATTCGTGCACGAGGAAACGGCACTTCCATTTCGTTTCTGCGAGATTAATATTCTATGGCAGCTTTGAATATTCATAAAGCGGCTACTCGAATATAAATACACGAGTTAACGATCCAAGCAGCACATCCCACGTCTTCTTTTTCTCGGTCATTCTCGGCCCATTTTTATTTCATGAAACAGTATCGATCCAAGATCATGTATTTATCTCATTCATAAAATCGCGACACACATGTACAGGGTGTCCCAACCTTACCGTACCATCCTTTTATGGGACTCCTAAGGTTATTTGAAGACGATTTTTCCTCAGCGAAAATGTTGAGAAAGGTCATCATTTTTCTTTTGTGTTCCTAATTTTTTAAATCATGTATCTTTGTAACTAAGCCTTAAATTAAAACTCTATTAAAGTAAACTTTACCTGAAATTAACTAAAAAATGTAATTTGTTAATAATTTATTTTTACAAGGCTTAGTTTACAAAAAAGCTTTTATTTTCAATCATTTATAACTCGAAAATTATTGGTGCCTGGACATTTTCGCTGAGGAAAAATCGTCTCTAAATCGCCTCCAGAATCTCTCATTAACGAGTGGTACAATAAGTCTGCGACATCCTGTATATATTATATCGAACTGTATTATCGGCGTATATATTTTTATTGGGACGAAATTAAATTTCTCAATAATTTTCTCTCTCTTCTTTATTATTTCATAAATTAAAAAAGAGAGCGGACAGATAACTTTGGTAATTTGCACATACGACTAACACAATTGCCTCGCTAATTTAAGCTTTGAAATGTAATTAATAAAGGAGAGGAATTAGCGAATAATTAATTTTAGTCTCGAAACAGTTTCTCGGAATTGTGATTCGTCGATATTCATCTCTAATGTAACCTGGGTATTATGAATTCCTGATAACTACCACTAAAGCGCAATTGCACATTTGGTATGCGCGAATGCATAGAATAGTACTTGTACGTGTGAAAATTGTAGCAAGTTATACAGTTCAAGCGTGTCACGTATTGAAACATGTATTTATACTTTCAACATTTCGATATTACACAGCTCGTTCCTGGGTAATATGCAAATACGCGCGTCTATTAATATCTCATTTATTCGTCATCCCGTAATACTCTAATTACGATAACGGAAACAGCAGTTAGTTAAATCTAATCAGCAGTTATAATCTGAACTAATGGTTACATTAAACTAGCTACAAAGTGTTCCCGAGTGTTCCAATTCACACGAAGATCAAAAGGTTTTTCGTTACCCAGGCTTTACCCGCAGCACCACCCTCTTTACCTCGTTCGGACAGTGATGAAGCATCTCCTCGAATTTCTCGGATCGTTTTACCGTTCGTGCGTGAAAAACGGGCTCTGCACGTGTCACTTAAACATTTTGTATCATGTCGATTGTATCGGTAAGAAGCATATATTATCAAGCTGCGGGATAATAACAGAACATCAAAAATGTTTATGCTATAATAATACTATTGTTATATTGATTTACGAGATTGTCATACAATTTTTACGTAGGATTTTTCAACGACGATAGCTTATGGTATATAAGTAGTGTAAAAATTCATGAGACATTAAGCGTTATCTCTATGGATCACGGTTATTTTACATGTTTGGATTATTCAAAGCTCAATTGCTATTCTCTTTCCTTAATATATATGGATATACACATTTGTAACATGAAAAAATAATGGTAAGAAAAGCGCGGAAAAAGCATAGCGAAAGAGCGCGATGAAGATCGTAAAGATAAAGGATAGCCTTCGTGCTTGCTCAGACTCCACATTTTTCTCAAGGAGATCGTACCAGGTACATGGTGTGGGTGCAGATAGATCGAAGGTAATATAGTACGTGTATACGAGGCTCGCAAACTCGAATGTCTACATAAATCGGACAGATGAAGCAAATGAGTAATATAAATGAAGAAAAAATGTATAATAAAAACGAGCTTGCCCTTTATTTTTATTAGACTAAAATTTAAGAACTTACTGAATAAAATGTATAAATTTTATTTCGTATATTTCTAAATCATAGTTAAATATAAAAAGTAAAAAGAAAGCGTGCTTCATATAATATTTTACTATCTTTTTATACGGACATATGTTATTACATAATATATCAGAGTTGAGAAGTAACTCGTTACTTGTAACAAAGTTACAATTACAGTTATATTTTTTTGGTAACTAGAAAATTTTAATAATTAATTTATTTAAAATTTAAGGCTAACCATTTTTCGGAAAGTTACGACTGTCTAAAATTTTATGAATATTTTAATTAAAACATCTGAATCCCATAATTTTTATTTTAAGTAAATAATATTAATTATTGTGTTAGAAATTAATTTCTTACAAATTATTAATTTAATATTAAATATATTTTTATTTTAAATTTAAAACAGTTGCAATTTATTGCATATAAAATATAATATAGTCATTGCAAAAAAAGTAACTGAGAAGTAATTTACTGAGAAGTACGTCTCGTTAAATTACTTTCTGAGTTATTATAACTGTAATGTTAGTTTTCATAACTGGTCGGTAACTATTAACTATAACTGGTTATTTTTTCAGTGAAAAAAAGTTGGTAACTGTAATTATAGATACTTTTACAAAATAAATTTCTCAACCCTGTAATACACATGTTCCTTTTTTTCTCGAAATGTGATGACTTTTATATCACGTCCATATATTTTATTTCAGAAATCATTCAAGTCATTCGTGATTATCTTAACTTGTCGGCAGTTCGAGCAGATTGTTTTGAGTTTGCGGATTCGCAGGCAGCTGGCTAAACTATGTTATCTTCGCTCTTACATGTATATACATAATTACGGAGATACCTGTGGAAGTGTCTTGATAAATTCAACCAACTCTAGGGGCAGTATGCAAATTGACCAACTATTTGCTGAAGAAATAAGCAATCACGCGGAGATCGCATTGCATTAAGTGCATTTCTGCGCAACGTTGCACTTCCACTTGGTCGCGTATCAAGCGAGCTTCACCTTCCGCTCCAATATTCACTCTTTTCCTGATACTACTTACAATTAGTAAAATTTCTTTGCATTTTTACTTATTATGGAAGAACCGAGACGTTTGTGTAAACAGCTGAACAGTGCACATATTTACAAAAATAATAATGCTTGCTTTTTCTCCCGTATTTATAAGATATGTATTTTTTTTTTTTAATTATACACTATGCCGAACATTGCTGTGATAAATTTACGAATTTCAACGTGCGTGCGTATGTATGTGTTATGTAGAGCGTAATAATTATGCAAATATATTCTTACAAGAGAAACACAGCATAGTTGCATATGTAAAAGTTCATTCGCGATGCTTCAAAAACATAGGTAACGCGAAGTGGCATTAAAAAATTCGGTATAACATTGATGAACAACTCGGTTTGCAAACAATTTCATTTGCCTATATTTCAAGATTAATAGCTACATTTTAACTTTGACTCAAAGAGTGACCCACTCTTCGCCCATCGAGCCCATCATTTTATTCCCTAATGGATACCTTCCTGCAAAACGAAGATTGAGTCAAATGTAAAATGTCAAAGAATAAAAAAAAACAAAAAGTTTTATATATATTATGCAATGTGCCGCATTTATCTTTATTATGAAAAAAGCTCTTTTTGTCTACCACTAATCGTTGCGAAATAAATACCGCAACGTAATGTAATGTAATATAAAAAATAATTACAATTATTCGGAAATAAAAATTTGCCCGAAAGTATCGCGCATGTGTTTCGTTTTCTTTCTTTCTTTATTCTTTTAATCTGTGAAAGAATTAAGACACTTTGAAATATTTATAGCATTGCATATTGGTTCACGTTACTTTTTGAAAAAACACTGCACTTTTTGTCGACGTTAAGACTTTTTTTTTAGCGCATTTAATCCCCATTTTCCAATAGTACAAGTGTTCTCGATAGATTCTACATGCGTGATAAAGCATAGCAGAAAATTATATTTCGCCTCGAATACCCTTCTATTGATTTCTATGTATATGTATCCTACTCGCTGCAATTCGCTTGCACAGTTGAATAACTTTTACGATCATCGGACTGTGCTACATCTCTGTACAATAAAAAAAAAAGCACAGTTACCTTCTACAACTAACATTTTCGGAATGCCTACATG